TTGAAAGTGCTTACTGTAAAAAACTAGGTGATAACATATTTAGTTTCAAATTCTTCATTGCATTCACATGTCTTCAGTAAGTAGAGCTCATAATTTTTTGTATTTAGAGCTATAATTAAATTTTAAACTATACATTGGCTTTAACACTAGTCTCTGAGTATATTTCTAAAGGGTTTTTTTTCCTAATAAAGGGGTATTGTGCAAAGTGTCATATTAAGAGAATTTCCTTGCAGTTGTGGGAAAAAGTCGTATTAGGGTAAATCATATTAGACAGCAAGATCTTTTATCATGTTTAATCCAGCAATTCTGGGAAATGCAAGTCAATTAGGGAAATTAAATCTCCAGTAGGAGCAGCCTCTTGCTCTTTATAACCTCTATAAAAATGATGATGTGTAGCCAAGGAGTCCCTGTGCACCAGATTGATTATATTGAAGAAGGAATTGAGTGGGAAATTCAAGAGTTTCATCAGTTAATAATATGATTGAAGAAGAAAAAAAAGAACAAATAATTATGAGCAAATCATATAGTCTTTTGGATTGGGTACTTAGATTCATAATAGGACATTATCTAACATTAGTACCCCCATTCTATGACGATAAAGCCCATGTCTTACTCCATCATGACTCTGGGCGTGTCACTAAATATTTTGTTACATTGGCTGGGTAAAATTAAATATTTCAAACCAGTTTTCATCTTATTTTTCTCAGCTGTCTGGTTTTCTGTTATTTTCCATCTTCTTAAAAGCTAAGGTTTGTGCCTATCATTCAGAATCCATTGGTCACAGCTTCTTTTTGATATGGGATGTGGTGTGGGTCTATTTACAGTGAGGCTTCCCTGGGGGCCCCTGAGCAGGCTGTGCCTTCCTGGTAAGGGACAGGCATCCCCAGACAGCACCTCCTTCAGGATGGACCTGAAATGAGCCATGGGTCTTGAATGAATGAGATTTTCGCAGCAGTGGATGAAGAAAGCACATGCTGAGGAGGAAACACTCAGCAGCTACAGGAGGCCCTGCTGGCCCCTGCCTTGGTGGCTAGGCAACCATGCACATCTATTCCTGGCTGGTCACTGTGGGAAGGGGTGACAGAGAACCAAGCCTGGTACCTGACTGTGCAGTTGAGCAGTCTGCATGTAGGGTTGTAGCCCTGTAGCCATGGTGTGGATAACCCCTGATCCACCCTACCACACACTGTTGGGCAAATCAGTATTTCAAGCCGACATGTCATTGCCTTGCTGCATGGACAGGGTGCACTTTCATCTAGCAGTGCAGGCCCTGTGCCCCATGAGCAGTGTTTCACAATGAAAATGTGGAGATAAGGGGCCTGACTTGCTTGAAGAAGCCAATTGCTAGTCATCCTGCTGCAGCCTGTGTTTTTGAGGCACATGGCTTGTGCTGGTGAGTTTGAGATGAGGGTGCCCCACTTCTGGGCCCAGGAGGTTTGGGGATATATTCTTCTGTCTGCTTTGGAAAAGGGAGGAAGTGAAGTTGTCCTGATTCTTTCTCTTCTATTTCCAGCTCAGCTCCCTTTCCCCACAGAGAGCTTAGTGATTATCAGAGGTCTTTCCCAGTGGCCAGGAAGCAAAAGGAATGGTTCTTCCTAATTGTTTGTTAAAGAAAATGGACTTAAAGCCCTTGATGGCCAGGCGGGAAACCACAGATGTATGACACATTTAGCACTCTGGGCCTCCCCATGCCTGTGACTGGCTGACGGTCTTCCCACACCAGCCATGCCCCTGTCCTCACCCTGCCTTCTGTGTGGACTCACATCCTGCTGCCCAATCGGGACCTGGCGAGTTGTCAGGGCTTTGGAAAGGGGCCAGCATGGATCCAGGCTGCCAGGCCAGCAGTCATGGGGTACTTTGCCTCCTGGCCTGGTTGCTTGGGGTGGATGAGGAAGCCAGGCAAGGCCACAGGGGTCAGAGTGCTGTGTGCACAGGGGGTGGCCAGTGCCATTGTGGACTGGTTCCGCACATGCTCCAGGGAAACAAGGCGTGGACAGAGGGATCCATCCCCTGGGCCATCACTCTCAGACTTGTCCTGGTGAGGGATGCTGTGGCCTGTGCACACACTGGAGTGTGGATTGATGTGCGTTTTCAGAGTAGATAGTGCCTCAGAAATAGCATGGAGGGTCTCATCCTTGTAGAGAGGTTGAATGAAGAGAAAGGATAGAAATTGCCTTTTGTGATAGACCAGATAAAGGGCTCCCCAGTACCCATACTTCTGAATTCTATCTTGAAGCAATACACTGAAGCATAGAGGCTGATGTTTGAAGATTTTTTTAAACTTGATTCTTCCAAATTATAACCATCTCAAACCCCATGAGCTGTTCCCTCTCCTTTCTCCAGTGAGTATTATGCTAGTCCAGGCCCCTTGCCCCAGCCCTCTGCTATGGTGGAGCAGAGAACAGCATATATTAGGGGGCAGTGCAAGCTAAGGCTTAGGGGATTTTGTGCAGAACGAAGTAGATTAATTTCTGTGCTAGGCAGGTATATGTACTAGATTGTTAGTCTTCTCTTTGTAGCATTCAACCTTCTCTCTAGCATTCCTTCGTGATTAATCACCCACAGGCTTGTCATACCTTCAACACTGCTAGTTTAGTATCTACTGCTGCCTTGTATTCTTAACTGTTCAATATGATTTAGCATTCATAAATATTTGATGTATCTATACAAATGATTAGAAGGGGAAATTCCTGGTGTTCCTTTAATGCAGTGTATTAAGGAAACTGCATGCCTCTTGCCTTAGCAAAAGTTACTTGCTATTGTTCAAATAAAAAATATTTTTAGGTTTGAAGTCTCTAGTGGTTTATTCTGGAAACCCTCCCAGAAGAGGTACCTGAATTATGAGTCAGATTCAACCCAAATGAATAAGGGCTGTCTCCTTCATTATGCTTTGGAATGTCCTCTCTTCTCTGCACATTAGCTGCAGACATCTCTGTGGTCAGAGGAGCAGGGATTCCCAAGGCAGTAAACTTGAAGAAAGAGAACTCTCACGGGCTGTTAAAGCACGGAAGCACTCTGGGTGGTGACAAACACCTTTGAGACCTGACTGGAGAGGCCCTTAGACGAACAGGTGAAAATCCAGGCCTGTGTTGTGGGGAAAGCTTCCTTAGCAACTGAACAAACAGGAATGGAGAAATGGATTGAGCTTATGTACAGCAGCTGGGCTGTAGAAAGCGCTGGGCGATACAAAGGTCCCTTTCAGAGACCCCTGCCACCTACATGTCATTGAAAACAGGGAAGTGGTGCTGTCTTTAGTGCCAGACCTAATACTCAAAAAGCTCTGGAGCATAACTTCAGTGCTGCTAACAACAGAATATGAACTGAGGCTCATGTATCCTGAGAAAGGGTTCTCAGATAAAGTTCTGAAAGAGGAGAATTGCTCAGAGACAGAGCAGGGCTGAAGTGAATACAGGATCATAGAAAAAGAAAGTAACAGATTGTAAAAGGATCTTAGAGCTCTGTAACCAATGGATTTGTGATAATGAAACCAAGGCAAGAGAGAGAGTGCCGTCCTGAAAAAATTAGAGGCAGAGCAAGAGTTAGAACCATTCATGCATTCACTCTTTAATTCAGAAACAACGAGTGAGTACCTGGTGTTGACCAGGTACATCTTATATGCCCTAGATATAGGCTTCCTGACTCATAGATGAGTGCTCTTCTCATCCTAAGGCCTCTTGCCTTGATCTCTATCTTGAAAGGTCTGTCTAGCATCGGACTCAGCTAAGGTTGGGCCCACAGATTCCCTAGATAAAAAAATCAAGCTCCTTCTCAGATCTGAAAGAGGACAAGTCAAAGAAGCGAGAGCAGAACTGGTTCTACCTATTAAATCACCAGATGCCAGTACAACTTAGCATGTTTAAAGTTGATGACTATATTTGTTTTGACCTTGTAACCAAGATAGTTGCTGGGAATACATCCAGTCTTTTAAAAATAGAAATGGGCTCCCGTGCCTTTTAAACACAGCAAGACTAGAGAAAAGTTGGGAAATGGTGGGGCTGGACCAGGTAGGGGAGGGAGGGTAGAGGAAACTGTTGTGAAAAGAACAATGATGTTGGCAAGAGGTAGGAGACAGGAACTGGTCCTCTTGTGATATCTGATGGAAGACAGTGCCTGTCCCACTTGCACTAAATGCATTCTGCTTTGCTCAAGACACTGCATTTCGGCAGGTTCCGCTGTTTCTTGGAAATATCTTGGCTTCACCATGCAAAGCCTGGGAATTCTCGCCAGTGCTAATGACAGCAATAGCTGGTACTTGAAGCATGCCTTGTGTTCTTGGCATCGCTTATCTAACGAGTCACTCTGAGAAATAGTTAAGGAAGGTGTTATTATTCCCATTTTGCAGATAAGGCAACTAGGGTGCAGGCAGATTAATGAGCTTGCCTGCCTCAAGGAGCTAATAAACAACAAGTCAGGTCTGAGGCTGTTCTTGCCTTCTGACTTCAAACCAGTCATTTTTCCTGCCTTGCTCTACTTCTTTACCTGAGGGTGGGGAAGGAATCCAGGGTTCAATCTGCACTGAGACAGATACATCTCAAGAACATTTTGTCTGGTTTGTGGATTTGAATACAGATGAGAAGATGGTGGGAGAGGCCTTTCCATAGTGATTTCATGTCCTGGGCTGAGTGGGTTCATTTGGGTGCTGGAGAAAGCATAGAGATTTTCCTAAACTGTGCTCCTAGTTTCACTGCTTCAGGTTTTCTCCTTTACAAAGAGCATTCACTACAGATGATAGTACAGATTTCCATATGGGGAAATTGCCAGAGAAACAAGAAATAAAATCTGATTAAAAGTTTTCTAGGTATTCTTGGTTTGTCTAATCCTAGTGGTTTCTGTTGAGTTGGGTCCATTCTGTACCGGCAATGCCTGTGTGGTCCCAGTGCCCTTGGGGTTGCAGAAGAAAAAGCAAGAGGTGGATGTCCCTGTCCGTGTGAATTCAGCAGCCTGGCCAGCATGGACACGGGAGTGACTGAACCTGACCTTCCTTTTCTCTTCCCTTCTAGAGCTGCCAACTTCAGGAACTTCACATTCATCCAACTGAATGGAGAATTTTCCCGGGGAAAGGGACTCGATGTCGGAGCCCGTTTCTGGAAGGGCAGCAACGTCCTTCTATTTTTCTGTGACGTGGACATTTATTTCACCTCAGAGTTCCTCAACACGTGCAGGCTGAACACACAGCCAGGTCTGGGGCTTCTGTTTCTCGTCCAGGGTGCATTCAGGGCCCTCACCCCAGGCATTTTTTGCTGCACAGTTTACTCTGAGTCTTCCTTCAGAGTGAACCCGTTTTATCCCTGTGACAAAGAAAAAGACAGTCATCTGGTTTGACTTTTTCCAATGGGTGCTGGATGGCAGGCCTGTGAAACACTAATTTCAGGGCTTTGCATCAAGTTTGAGTGTCTCACCCCTGTCCTGTTTTTTCTGGATCATCCACAGGAGAAAATGTGGGGAGGACTTGGACCTGGACAAGCTGCTTGGGTTCAAAGGGGAAAAAATACCTGTGAGCAAATACCAAGGGAGGGAGGGCTGTGGGCAGGAAGAACCCACAATATGAAAACTGCTTCCATAAGCTTGACTCAGGCAGAGCTGATAATCAGCTAAGAGCTACTGGCATGGCCAAGTCAGTTGCTAAAATACAGACATTCTTCCATGTAAACTGGTGAAGGGCAACTGACCTGGGCTGTCCAAGTCTGCTTCTGCTCAGAGTCCCCTTGGGCTCCCCGGCAGCCCTGAAGATGGCCTCGGGAGCCAGCTTTGGGGGAAGGGCACCCCGACTCTGAGCCACACCCACTCCTTCTGGAGGATGCCAGGGCCAGAGCCACTGACTGTTAATATTTTACGTACTGTTTCTGTGCTGGGAAGACGGAAATATTCAAGCATCCGTAGTCCACCCAGTGCTACACTTCTAGCATCTGGAGTTGAGAGAAAGGAAAAAAGAAAAGTGGATGTAAATATCTGGGATGTTGCAGAGGGCTGAATGTCAATGAACAAAATGAATAGTTGAATCTGTCACATTTAGCCAATGTGTGTTTTCTGGTTTGTAGGGAAGAAGGTGTTTTATCCAGTCCTCTTTAGTCAGTACAACCCTGGTATAATCTACGGCCATCACGATGCCATCCCACCTCTGGAACAGCAGCTGGTGAGTAATTACCCCTCAGATGCCTTTTTGTGACTCCCTTTCATGTCTCTCTCATTACCAGGGGCACCTGACCGTGAGGAAAGGCGAGTGGAAATCTGTGGAGTGATTCCCTTAGTAGCTTTTAAGTTTGGGAGATGTTCTGGCCTTTGCTCCCAGCGTCTTGTTGATTAAAAGTTCTTGCAATATTTAAAAGTGGAAAATAAATAGGAACACTACCTTCCAGGAAGGTAATTTCACACCTTCATAGTTTTCTTCTATGGTTTGGGGGAACTCGTATTACTCCATTATGGCTGGAGCACATTTTCAAAAATCTTGCCAGGAAAGAAAGGTGTGAGATTTATGTTCCCATTGTGAGGTGGAAAATAGATGTTAGAAAGGGGTGGACAACCCCAGGCCCATGGGGGTGCGTCCCTGACCCTTGGCCTTCCCCACTGTCACCATTGGTGCCCATCACTGTGCCTGGGTGCACATTGACATCAGAGGAGTCATGGCAAGGTGGCTGTCTGAGGAGGAGGAGTCGAGGAGGGACTCCTCTGCTTCAGTCAAGATCCTGCCTGCAGAATGATGGGTAGGGAAGCCATGCAGTCTCCAGAGTCTCCGTGAACAGTGATGTCTGTGTCACCACATCCATTCCCCAGGGGAGCAGCACAGGCAGCAGGGGGATGAGGCCAACTGAAAGGTGATTTCTGTGCTGCGTGTGGCCATGCCCCTCCCAGACTCAACTTCCCATTACACAGGCTCTTCTGACCTGTGGAGGATATGTTCCAAGACCCCCAGTAGATGCCTGAAACCTCAGCTAGTACTAAACCCTCTATGTACCCTGCTTTTCCCCACATACACATCCCTGTAATAAAGTTTTAATTTGCAAATTAGGCACAGTAAGAAATAACAATAGAGTAATAATGAAAATACAGTAAACGTCATTTACAACTCATGAATTGCTTATTGCTGCAGTTCTTCATTGAACATTTCTAGACTGTGATTGATTTTGGTAGCTGCAACCTCAGCTAAGGGAGGACTACTCTATTACTGCCAGCATCTGCATGCTGGGCTGTGGTCTTTCCTGCAGGGATGTTGGCTGGCTTGTGCACAGCTGTGTTCGGGCTTAGGCTGAGTCTCAGCAGGCCGTTATCCTTGTCTTGGGTAGCTCTACCTCCTGTTGTGGCAAAGCCGAGTTGCTCCCCACTGAATACCCCGCAGGGAGGAGAAAGGAGCTCCGGTGCAGAATGTGAAGATAGATATGACCAAGTCTCTCTTGCCCCTGTGCCACACGAGAGTAAACAGGTTTCCGCTGTAAATATGGATTTCATGTATTTCCAGGAAATTCTTTTAGGCGACTGACTCTGGGTTTAAGCTTCCAGAAGTAGCAAAACCTGTTCTCTGCAGGCCCATCCTATGCCCCTCACTTTCCTGCATTCGGTTAACCTCTGGCAGCTGAAGTGATGAGCCTTTCCAGAGCATGGATGCTTTGGGCACCTTAGTGTACAACTGGATGTGTTTCTCCCTCACATTCGCACTTGGTTTCAGTGGCTCAACCCGGGTGGCACACCAGGGAAGAGAGCACGCTCTTTCCCCGTGATATTTTAACATCATAGATGTTCTGTGTATCTGTCGATGTGCTGTATCTGTATCTGTGCTTCATACATAAAAAAGCACTCATTTTTACTCCCCAAGAACCAATTCTCATCTTCTTACAAGCAGTATCTCCCCCGTGGAGTCAGAAACTTCTTGTTTCCTTTCCTAAGAGTTTAAGAGGGAAATAGGATAGAGACAGCATTCGTTTTCTTTCAATCAATCAGTGTTCCTTTGGTTTTAAATTTGACATCAGATGTGATTAATGTTTCCAGTCCAAACTCATGAACACTTTATTTGCTTCCAAGGAGCTCTTTTCATTTCACAACCTGTAAGTCTTATCCTTCCATTATTACTTCTGCAGAGAAGGAGGTACACTGGCAAGTCAGAGAGACATCCCGCTTCAGCAGGTCTCTCAGATCCTCAGACTTAGTGGTCAAGGCAGAAACAACTCAGAATCCTTGAGTGCACACTAGAGGCTCTGAATTGTCCTGCATCCTTTGACATTTACTTCTGAAAACACGCGGACCTCATAACTTTCCTAGTTCAGTATTTGTGATTATTTAGGCTAATGAATCACAGCAACTTGAAAGTTGGCCAATCCTAAAAGAACCCTAAAAGAAAAATATGAGTATGCTGTTTGCTGGACAAAGCATTTCATAAGCACATGCTCCCTCCCAAAGGCGAATCCACCTGCTGCTGGAGGACGGCAAATGTTTCATATACCCTCAGGGGCTCTGTGAGAGATTTTGCTTACTTTTTCTTTCTATCAAGGAGGGATAACTAGTCCAAGATTGTACAACTAGCCTGTGGAAGAGCTCAGCCCCAAGCCAGGATTTTTCACACTAGTGAAGTGGAAATAGATTTGCTGAAGATCAAGATGAGAGCTGAAGTGTAAAGAAAATATCCTGACAAAAACTCCAAAGGTGAACATCAAACTGCAGAAATTAATATAATGGAGGCAGAGTATGTAGGTGATAAGAAGGTATAAAATAAAAAGTAATGACCAGAGGTAGATAAATTAGGAAAGGATTCCTCCTGAGGGTACATTTTGGCTCAGTCTTGAAAAAGATGCTGCACATATATTAACAAATCCTGATAGCCTTCCCCTGGAATACATCAGAATCACAGACGAAGGGGAACACAGGTCTAAAATGCGACTGTAATAAAAGTTACTTACTTATGCAAATAAGAGACAACCTCCCCCAGCAGCCCTGCAAATATGACCTCATTTGTCAGTGTGCTGGTTATTTCGTCTCATGACTATTGCTGCTGTCATTTTATAGTTTGGCTGCAGATACAAGCAAAGGAACAAATTTATGATTTTTCTGTATGTTCAGACAACTTGTTTCTTTACCTTTGAGTACAGATCATTAGTAATAAGTGACATCATGGGATTTTATACTAACGTATAATCTTTTAAGCTTTAAAATGTGAGATAAAACTTGCCAATGCTGTAATGTAGACACAACTTGCAGAGAAAGGTATGATTATAATTTAAGTAAATGTATCCTTTAGGCATTTCACTCTTCTGGTCACACATTTTTAGTTCTTCATTAGGTCCCTGCAGGAAGAACCTACTGGTTCTATGTTTAGATTCTGACCCTCCTCTATACTCCAAATTTCCCTTTACCCTCTGCTAGAGAAATGTTTCAAAAACACCAATTATTTCTATTAAAAAAATCCTTTATAGCATAAAGCCAGTCACCTGCTGGTAAATGTTTAACAACCCACTCTCTGAAAGAGGGAATGGAGCCCTGATTGATGGCATTTGCCAATTTCCATGGCATAAATATTGCCACCATGACCTATCTTGGGTTACCATATGACATCACCAGACACAGCTCACACATCCTTGTGAGCTGGCCCTAGCTGGCTCCAGTTTGGCACCACAAGCCCTGATTCCTTGTTGGGATTAATTGTCCACCACAAATTCCCAACCTGATTACATACAAAATCTCCATAAACTCACCACCTGGCACCTGGTACCAGCTCAATAGACCCCCAAGCCAGCCCTGCTGCAGTCCTGCAAGCCACACCTGCTCCTAGTCCTTGGACTGTCCTTGCACTTCAGGGCCCTCTCACCAGTTCTAGTATCCTCAGTGTCTGACACAGCATGTCTGTCTGCCCCATGGTGATCCCATCACTTAAGCCTGATGGCCATGTGTTGCCCTGGTCAGAGGGTGAACAGTATGCTGGCTCCTGCCTTCACCCCCTCCAACTCCCTTCTACCAATATACTACTGCTGATCCAGGCTTCAGCCTTTTACAATTGCCTACCGAGCATAGTCCATCCAGTACATCCTTGCAGTATATTGTTATTTATTCCAAAAGCATACACTCACTAAGTAACAAAAATAATATTATTCATTGCCCTTTCATGAGCCCACTGTGTGCCCACATTATCCCACATTATGTAAGGCATCATTGTTTTCAGTTCATCCAGGAGGAATTTGAGTGCTTCTGTCACTTGTTCAGACTCCCACAGCTGCTGAGTGGCCGAGGCGGGAACTCAGGTGCCAAGTCTTGGAGCTGAGCCTGGACTGAGGGTGCTGAGGGACAGGAGATACATCCTTTGCCTGCAGAGTGCTTGGAACATGACAGAGAGTCTAGATCCTGGAAATGAGAGCATCCTGCTCAGCATGGCACACCTAGAAGACCCAATCATAGCTATGCATGTTGGCACACGCCTGTAATCCCAGTACTCTGAGAGGCTGGGGGAGGAGGACTGCAAGTTCCAGACCAACCTGGCCAACTTAGCAACTTGGTGAGACCCTGTCTCAAAATAAAAAAGAGAGCTGAGCATGTCGATCACTGAGGACGCTTTGAATTCATGTCCTGGTACCAAAAAAAAATCATTTTTATGCAGATAATGATAAAAGAAGACTTGCAGAAAAATGTGACTTAGTACAAACCTGGAAGGAGGAGGCTTTTGAGTTCATCCTTAAATGAATTCTTTGAGTGGCTCCAAAGTACTTATTTTTCAAGAAATGGATCTGAGATTGCCACAGCAATCTTAGGATTGCTCTGGACTCGACTGCAGTAGGCTGATTGAAGGTGAACAAGTCTTTCTAGCCCTGTAGCAGGAGGCCACAAGAAGAGGACGTGCAGCCCTCCTGGATCCTATGCATAGTGATCACGGAGCCCTCAGGCTAATAAAAAATATACAGTGCAGTCCCCAGGCAGACCCAGCAATGCTCACAGCTCATGGTGCTCAGTGCTCACAGGGAAGGACCTGCTGCATAAGTCATATGCCCCAGAGCAAAATGAAAATGGAGACCCTTTTCCCAAAAGTATTATAGAATTTTCAGACAGTAACAGCAAGAGTGGGGTCTTCTAAGCCTGGGGCCCTGTGTGACTGCGTGGGTCTCATCCCCATACCCAGTCCAGCTCACAGGGGTCCCTGGTGAATCCAAGGCTGGCCAGACCAGTCCTGGGGCTCTGTAAAGCCTGCTTTAGAGGAGATACTCTGCCTGAGTGTTTGTTATTTACTATTTCAGGGTCCAGCTTGCCTCATGGGCAGTTGTCCAAGGCAGCCCCATTCCCGTTAAGGCAGCCAGGTGCTGCCTGCCTTCCAGCTCCCTGTGCAACTGCAAGGTGGACACTTTCCACAGCTCTGGGGAGAGACGCTGATTTGTGCTTTGTGTTTTGGTCCTAACAGAAAATAATCACCCTTCATGTGGATCACCCACAGAGCTGTGGCTCTGCAAACTTCCTGTGGGAAAGCCAGCCTGATAACTGTCCTTCTGCAGAGGACTCAGGCCCTGCATGCTCTGAGGTGGGGAGGGAAGGCGTGCAAAGAGAGTGGGATGAGGCCAGGGCTTTTGAAACACATTATAAAGATGAGGTTGGCATGCCGGAATAGTGGTGCACACTCATAATCCCAGCTAACTCGGAAGGCCGAGACAGGAGGATCAGAAGTTTAAGGACAGCCTGGGCGACTTATGAGATCTTGTCTCAAAATTAAAAAATTTTTAAATGGGCTGGGGATGGATATAGTTCAGTTTCAGAGTGCCTCTGGGTTCAATCCCTAGTACTTCAAAAGATAATAATAATAATATTATAATAATAGCACTTGAAGACAGTATAATTCAGGACAAGAAGAGATTTTTTTCAAATTAAATCTTTTTTTTTTTTAGGATTTTCTCCTTCTGCATTGTTGACCCCATTGGTAACTGTATTTTGATGCTCAAATAGAGAGAGCATCCTAGTAGAGCTCCTTATGCCCAAGGCAAAGTTCCTGAGGAACCAAGCCCTTTACCTTAGGCCCCAAGAAAGTGAAAACAGTTTTTGCCTGTTGATCTAGAGCCACACGGTTCTGAGAGTTGACACCCTGGATTTCCTGTCCTTTGCTGAAGTGCTTGCCGACAGTGTCTCCTCCTTGAAGCATGTCTGTTTCCCTGGGAGGGAACCACCTCTGCCCAGGACTGGACCCCCTTTGTTCAGCAAGGAAGTATCTACGGATTGTTGGCTGTGTGCTGGACAATGTTCTGGGGCTGGAGATGCAGCAGCCAATGAGGCCAAGACTGGACTTCTACATTCACTCATAGTGATGGTTGAAGACCACCCACAGAGAAGCAGCACACGCATCAGCAGTATCTTCAGGAAGCCATGAGTGTTACAGAGAAGGCAGACCAGGCTGAGAGGGAGAGGGAGACATGTGGCTGGCAGGTGTACCGACGCTGGTCAGAGGGATCAGGATAATTACTCTGAGCAGCAGAGGAAGGGTGACCAGGCAGTGAACTGTAGGGGTCCTGCCATGGATGCCTGTGACCCTAGGGAGTTTGGTGGTGGGGTGGGAACAGGGCTGTGTATAATAGGGAGAATGAGAGGAGGGGAATGGGGTGAGGCAGGCAGGGCCAAGAGAACTAAAGGATTTTATTCTCCCTGCACCCAGAAGCCATGCAGGGCTTTCTGTGGGAATGTGGCAGTATTGGACAGGAGCTCAAGAGGCTCACTGCACTAAGCTGCTTGGTGAGGGCAGCATTCCAGTTAGCAGCATGGCCAGCTGCGGTGGCGGAACCTCTAATAAGTGAACTCCATCTTGCCCTAAATTATATGCTGTGGGCACAACCAAATGGGTTTCCAAAAGGGCTGTATTTCAATGAGCCCTTTACATAGCGGCTTTTTGCAGCTTGCCAGCTTTAAACCCAACTTTAGTACCTGTTTCTATAGCTTGCTCCCCAGGTCATAAATCAGTGTGTCACTGTCACACTGTCCTCAGGTGAGGGTCACCCTTCAGCTTGTTCAGCCTTGTCAGGCACTACATGGACTCAGTCCAGAGTCTTGGGAGACTCTCTTTCTTCTTCCCAATCCCTGGGCAATTGCCTTTCCTGTGTGGAGCTTTCTCTTTTGAAATTCCATGTATTCCTCAGCCAAACAGCTAAAGTCTGGACACTAGAGCTTCTCTCCAACTCCCTTTTTGTCCAGAAGCTTAGAGGGACTTGTCTGCATCCAGGCCAGCACAGGGAGTACTAATCCATTTTTAAAAGATGACCCAGTGTAGATTTTTCCAGACTTTCCTGCCTTGAAGAATCCTTCCAGCTGGCACTAATGAAATTTTCTTGTCCTGTGGGAGGCATTGTACACAGCCATTTGTCTGAAGTGGGTTTTGGAGAAATATGACTATAGGAGAACATGGTCCACAAACCTCACTGGCTCAGGTTTTCCTTAGGTGATCTCGATGCACATTAACAGTCGTGTAGGCAGCATTTACCTGTAGCTTGTGGTGAAAATAAGATGGTTTCAGAGGTTCCAGTGTAAAAGAATTTTTAAGCTTCCTCAACCCCTCTTCAAGCTGTTCATCAAAAATAATTTATGCCATGTCAAAGCTTCCAGAAGATGGAATAACAGCGATATGATGTTCAGATGTTAAAGGTGGAACCATCCTTGGGGGTGATTTAGCTCACTCACCCCCCTCATCTTACAGCAGAGAAAACCAGGGCTTGCAGACGTGTTGGGACCTGCCTGAGGTGAGAAGGCTCATCAGTGGTCAAGTTTGGACAAGACTCTGCCAGCTGCCCCTCTCCCCTGTCATGTTGCTATTTCAGATTGGTGGCCAACAGAGCCAGACATCCAGAATGGGCCCCTGCTGCAGCCTCCCTTGCTCTGTGCCAGGGAAAGAAACTTTCTTTTCTTGGAGCACCTATACAAACAACAAGAACAAATCCCAAAAAATAACTATTTTGATCTCAAAACAATACCCAGAATCAACTCTGCCCAAAAAATATATAAAAATTTCCCAATGTTGCGCTACCTTGGCAAAATCTATGGGAAATTTTCTTGCAAAGTAAGAGACTGAACGAAGCCAGGTCTTTTTTTTTTTTTTTTTTTTTTAATAGATAGTTGTTGCTTGGATGGCCTTTCGGCCGCCCTGTAGGCCGGCACCTCTGTGTGGGCCCTCCAGAGCAGCTGGGTTCTAAAGTTGTGTCGGGGTGGATGAGCTGAGTCTTTCTTCAGAACCTGGCCCTCTGAGTGTCCCTTTTCTACCTGAGAGAGAGGTAGCAGAATTGGAGAGCCAGGACACGACTGTACAGTCTCTGGGGACATCATTTTATTCCTCGAGGGAGTCCTGTTTGTGGGCTGTGCCAGGGCAGCTGAATTCCAGGCTGTGCTCTATCCTTTCTCTCAACTTCCTGAGCCTGTGCTGACTCCCTGCCCAGGCCTGTGTGAGGGGCCAGGGCCTGGGCTTCTAGCTGGCACTGGTATGGGGCCAGTGTGTGTGTATGTGTGTGTGTGTGTGTAGAAACATTCCAGCCAGAGATCCCAAAACCAAAATTCACAAGGCCCTTTTCCGGGCCGGGTGAGGTTACAGTGCTCCTGTCTGTATGGGCTCGGGTGCATCTCTTTCCCACTCGGGACTGTGGCTGGCTGTTTCTCAGGACTGGGCCGGGCTCTGTATGGGATGCTGTTCACGTGAGTTTGTGAATACTCTGTTTTATGCACCAGTCTGACCGTGCTTTCTTTGCAGGTCATAAAGAAGGAAACTGGATTTTGGAGAGACTTTGGATTTGGGATGACATGTCAGTATCGCTCAGACTTCATCAACATAGGTGAGACACAGCTGCATCTCTACTGCCACCTGGAGGCCGCTCCGCACACAGCCCTTGAGGGAATCCAGCAGGTTTCTCAGGAGTTGGTGGTCAAGGTGGTGCCATTTCCTTTAAAAATGTGTTCCTCCTGTCACTTTTGCAGGGTAGATGAGAGGGGCCTTGGGAGTCTACAGCACTTTTGTCCCTGTAACCTCCACCAGCATCCCTTGCTGACCCCAGATATCACCCTGTGCTGTACAAATGCAGTTTTGAGGCCAATTCTTGGGCATGTCCTGCTCCAGCTTGGGTCCTGGCTGGGGGCCCTCCTGTGCAGACCACCTGAGTCTCTTGGAATGTGGGAAAAGTTCTAGATGTCACCAAGCCCAGCCTGAGTGTGCGGTTGTACCACTACATACACGCATTCACGCGTGTATACACATCCATGAGTTTCCAGAGCATAGAGCAAAAATGCAGGTTTCAGCTAAACAGACCCAGGCTCTCAGAGGTAGAGGGACCACCCCAGGCCACACAGCAAGTGAGGCACATGGCATAAGCACAGAGGGTGCCCCTGGAAATACCTCACCACCTCCCCTTAGCAGTATTTATGCGTACACCTCTGCAGAGAACAGAATGGGATTCCACACCACTAAGGGGAGAAATAACCAGCTGGGAACCTGGACCTGGGCTCTGAGTGGCCAGGGAGGCTCTGGAGTGCCTCTTCCAAGGCCCCCAGGAACTGCATTCTGCTCTCTCTCGGTCTCCCACCTTTGCCTCAGGCCCAAGGCCAAGGAGTTTCTAAACTTCTTGATTTCAAAGCAGGGAATAGGAGCAGCCTCAGGGTTTTTTTGGTGGTTTTTTTTTCAGTAATGACCTGGACTGCAGGTTAAATAGAAGGGCTGACGGTGTGGCTCAGTGGTAGAGCCCTTGTCTAGCAGGGGTGAGGCTCTGGGAGAGAGTGACCAGAGGGAGAGAGGGAGGGAGGAGAAAGGGAGGAAGAAAGGGAGAGAAAGGAAAGGAAGGGAAAAGACAAAGGGAGGGCATGGTGGTATATGCTGTACCTGTTATCTCAGATCACGGGGGAAAGACCACAGATGGAAGCAGGGAGAGGGAAATAAAGAAGGGAGGGAGAGAGGGAGAAAGAGGAAGAAAGGGCAGAGGGGGGTCAAACAACCTTTAGGTTAAGTCCCACAAGAGGTACCAGACCACTGGGGTCTGGTCTGAGTGGTGGCTGCTCTAAGGACACCCAACAACTGACCACAGGTGTTCCTTGATGCCTCTAAATAGTCCTAAATTACTATGTCCATTCAGATTCCCCAAAATGATATTAACCAACATTTTCCAAAGATTCCCATTTCAAGAAACCGTTTCCTCACTCTTTGTGAAGAGATGATCTGTGAGGATGCATAGGCTTATCAAATTTGGATTCATCCTGATGTTTATCATATTGGATTCTCCTAAAGATGAATGTCACTGTGCTCCAAAAGATGGGGTGTGGCAGGCTGGGAAGGGCGCCCATCCTCAAGAGGAAGCCCCTGCTGTGACCTCAGAGCTCTGCGTCCTGGTAGACCCCATCTTTGCAATCTTGTACTTATTGGTGCCTTGTTCTTGTACTGCTTGTGCGCCTTGTGTTTAATAAGCTATAATGATAATAGTAACAGTAATAAATCGCCTACAGTTATCCAAGCACTGGTCCATACATAACTACCTTACTTGGTTATGATACTTCACTGAGAGATAAAAAACTAAAATTTGAGCGTTTAAGTGGCAGCTTCTAAAAGGACTAAGACACAAATTCTGGCCCCATGAGTCACAATTGGTCCCTTTTCTTTGCCTGCCTCCTAACTGAGAGGCCACATCAGTCATCAGCCCTGTCATCAGGGGTTCCTTGGTTGGTTGTGGTTTCCGGTGCCTGAGCCCTGCTCCCAGTTGCAGCCACAGCTATAATCAGAGCAGCGTGACTGGAGTGTGCAGGGAGTGAAAGACCCACAGGAGAGTGTCTGAGGAGAGATGTTGAAAATCACTTTGCCGTTTCTTGCAAGAGCTGAATAAATCTCCTAGATGAGAAAGGAGCAACAACAAAAAAGCCAGTGCTTCTTTGGTTCTACATGGGACCCACTGGGCCTTAGGTTAGAGAAGGATGTCTACAAAGTTTACAAAGATGAGACCTCAGCGGACCATGACAGACTTTGCAGTAGGATTCATTATATACAGTTTCTTTGGTAAAACATCAGAACCACCTCTGAGGCCAGTCCCCTTAAAACGACTCACTTTACCATCAAGCAGTCTCTCAAGGCCATTCCCATCTGTGAAAAGAAGAGCTTTTAAGGGGGCATGATCCTTCCATTCTGAAATCTCCTCTCATTCCTATGCCCTGGAAGCCCCTGTATATTCTGCCTGCCACATCCAGACAGAAGCCCAAGAATTTGCATTGGGAGGTTTCAAGTTCAAAAGTAGGGATGCTGCTGAAGCTCTTAGCTCCAGGTCAGGGTCTTGCTGTCTCCAGAAACCTGTGCTGTCTGCCAGGAAGCTCATTTCTGTTGGGCATTTCCAGGCTCTCTTGACCTGTTGGCCACTCAGTAACTTGGAGGAGCTGTAGAGCACACCCCGCAATGGCTCCTCATGGAAAGTTCTGTACCTGTGCAGTGTGGGGGACCCAAGATAGGTAAGATTCGCCCCTATGGTGCTATTAAACAGTGTGTTCTCTCCGACAGGTGGGTTTGATTTGGATATCAAAGGCTGGGGCGGAGAGGACGTGCACCTGTATCGAAAGTATCTCCATAGCAACCTCATAGTGGTGAGGACTCCCGTTCGGGGACTCTTCCACCTGTGGCACGAGAAGCGCTGTGTGGATGAGCTGACCCCTGAGCAGTACAAGATGTGCATGCAGTCCAAGGCCATGAACGAGGCGTCCCATGGGCAGCTGGGGATGCTGGTCTTCCGGCACGAGATAGAGGCTCACCTTCGCAAACAGAAACAGAAGATCAGCAGCAAAAAAACATAAACTCCTAGGGGCTGGATTCGGAGAGACATTTTTTTTCCTTTTGCAATTACCAAAAATAAATAATAATAATAATGTTTGCAACAAGGAAAAGACTGCCATAAAGGGCGCAAAAAGAATCTGACGGATTAGTAGGAGATGAGAACAGAGAGCCTTCAATTTCTCTCTATTTGGCTTTATGCAGGAGGAATTAAAATCTCCACTGTGCCTGCAAACATAACCCAAATGGACCCGAGAAGTGTGACAAAGGCAGAATGATTGGGAGATGATAAGCCTGATGGTGAGCAGGTTTTGATTGTGTGTACAACAAAATGAGATCTGTTGTTTTCTATGCCTATTGAAATATTCATGAATTAAGACTAGTTTTGTAAAGAGTTCATTAGAGTGAAAGGCAAGCACATTTCTCCTTATATGAATGATTCTTCTATCAGTGAGGCTTTAGTTGTAGGAATGCCAATGTCTCGGAAGGTTGCAGAAGAAACCAAGTCCAACATGGAGATCCACTCTCATGAGCACCATGAGGACCGCAGGCAAAATCAGATGGACCAGATGGAGCAGGAAGCATAGATACTGTGTCATTTCCCCCCAAGATTAACCAAAAATAATCTGCTTATCTTTTTGGTCATCTTTTTAACCATCTCTATTTGTTTATTTAAAAATGCACTTTTTTTTGCTTGTGAGTTATATTCTGCTTATTTAATTACCAATCTGCAAGCCTTACTAAGAGAGCACAAGTTAGCATATATATGTTTATGTTTTTTAAGAAGGTATTTTTTAGATGCATTGTGAGAACTTTCAGCTCAGAAGATCAGATTGATAGATTGATAGCACATCCGAGGACTTGCCAAATGTAGATACTGTCTGGCACTGAGGGCCTTGAGACCAAGGGGAAGCCCAGCTGGGGCCACTGAGAAAGAGGTGTGTAGATATTTTATCTGAAGAATATGCAGGAGGGAGAACAGCTGAACACTGGAGGAAAAGGAGAAGACACTTTGACCTTAACCGAAAAGGAAATGCATTCCGACTGATGATACCTTGATATATTTAAAAGTCACTTTCTTACCTGTTGAAATAAACCAAAGTTACGAACCAAACAATCTCTTTTCAAAGCAGGGTGCTCTTCCTGGCTTCTGGCTTCCATAAGAAGAAAAGCAGGAGAAAAAAAAACTCAATCTACCTGCCAGAGTCCAGTGAGATGGAAGTTTTTGCTACATGTTCACTCACCCCAGGCTAGGTGGAAGTAACTTAATTATTTTTAAAATTAAGCAGTTCTACTCAGTCACCAAGAGGCTTCTGAATATTGCATTTATTACAGTTTCAAAGTGTTTTTAAAAAAATAAGTACCGTTAACATTGAGTGGTTTCTACATCCATGTGAGGATTATTTATTTATTAGCCAGCACCAGGTGCATGAGCTAATTATCTCTCTGATTCCTTTCCTTCTATTTGCCTACAGTAAACTCATTGTTTAAAAGCTTCAAGAGCATTCAAGCTGTTGGTATAAGAAAAGGCATTGTATTGATTTGTACTGATAGTTCATAAAATTTAATTAAAACGCAAGACATGAATAGAAGGTGGCATTGCACAGCTAATAAAATATGATTTGTGGATTTGATTTCTTCTTGGAATAATAATGCAATGTCTTTAATTTTTGGAAAGCATTTTTTACGCACAAATCAGAACTTCTCAAGATAACTCCTTGGTGGGTGTGATTGGTAGGGTTGTCCTAGGCATTGTAGGACATTTAAGAGCATTTCTCCCTGGCCTCTAGCCAATAGATGCAGGAAGTATCTCCTACAAAGCTGCGAAGCTCGCTTTCTTTCTTTCTTTCTTTCTTTCTTTCTTTCTTTCTTTCTTTCTTTCTTTCTCTCTCTCCCTCTCTCTTTCTCTCTTTCTTCCTCTCCCCCCCCCTTCATGGTTGATAGCATCCCCATTCCTTGCGTGGAGTTGCTGCATGTACAGAGCACATCTTAATTCCTTTTCTCCTCCCCTTTCCTTCCTTGCCCTCCCCACCTCCCTCCATCCCTTGATTGCTTTCCCATTTGGGAGAGATATTATCTATTTTGTATTTTTCTCTGTGTTCGTATTTTGGGTTTCTCATATATGTCAAATCATGCAATACAATGGACCCTTGAGTGACAACCAGCCTGACATACAAACAACTTGGGTTATGACCAGAATTTTACCTTTAACTTCAGTTATGGGTCTTGAGTTACAAATCAAATGCTGGCCACTTGTGCTTCCAGGTGGTTTCAGGTACAGATTTAATCCTTAAAGAGTTCTGGAAGGAACATTACAACATCCTTTTCCTTTGTGGGGTTAATTGAGAAATCCTGGGCCAATGTCTCTCTAAGGACATTGAGATCTGCCCTTATACAGGAGAGAGACTTTTAAGGCTGTGTAGAGGAGCCTGAGCTTTCAGTTTACCAACTTGAGTTACAACCAGCCCCCAGGAACAAATTGAGTTCATAAGTCAAGGGTCCACTGTATTTAAGCTTGTGTTTCTGATTTATTTCACTTAACAATGTGGTCTCAAAGTGCATCCATTTTCCTACAAGTGACTCAAATTTGACTTTCTTTATGAAAATTAGTATTTCCATTGTGTATAAATGCCACATTTTCTTTATCCATTCATCTGTTGATGGACGTACAGTCTGTTTCCAAGATTTAGCTATTATGAATTGTGCTGCTGTAAATACAGGTATGCATATATCACTGTAATGTGATGTCTTTAGACACCTAGAAGGGAAATGGCTGCCTCCAGTCACTGTCAGATGTCCCTGGGAATCAACACCAACCAAGAGGAAGAAGAAGACCGTAATGAAAAGCCTGAACTGTTGATACATTGTACTTGGCCTTTTGAATTACAGGAAATTCAGAAAAGCAGTAGTGCTTTCCAAGGCCCCTTTCCACTCTGTACTTAATATTTTCATATACTGTGGTGATACTAGAGTCTTCAGGACACTGTCTGGCCTGTCCCAACAGTGGTCCGGATGGATCTGTGACTGACCAGGGTCAGGAGGATGCATTTCCAACAAGCCTGGTGGCAGTGATCAAATATATACACCATGAAATTGGGTGGGTCTAAGAGTTTCTCCACTCTGCGGTGCTGGCCTGTGCTCTGCAGGCTAATCAGCCCTTTGTGCTTGTTTACATTGCATGGCACAGATGGCCAGGACAGTGGATAAGAACTGAGGTTTAAAAATTACTGAGAGTGGCCAAAGAGGTAAATAACCTACTCGATTCTTTATTTCTTTTGAAAGCTTAGCCAGGTAAAGCAGCTTTATCGAAGGACAAGGCTCTTGGAAAATACAGGCAAGTGATCTGTCTCCATGGTCTGCCTGAGACATAAGTGAAAGAAAAGGCCCCACTGATGCATAAATAGGATGCTGAAAGTTAAAACTCACACAGCAAAGGAAAGCAGTAATGAAACTAGTTTGAAGGACTCTGCACATTGTATCTTGCACAGGGAGGATGCTGCCAGGAAACGCTGAGGCTTGGGCTGGGTGCAGACCCTTTCCTACTCTGCACACTCGTGCTGTATCTACCTCCTATCAGTTGCCTGTTAACCAAATATCTTTCTGAGCTTGAGTCTAGAATATTCTTGGAGTCTCCCCCACTGGCACTGATGTAGCTGCATCAGAGCCAATTAGCATCTTTTCCCAGTTTCTCCCCCAAGACAGGTTGGCATCTTGAAATAAGCCATAGTAGTATTTATGCCATGCATATTGGCATTTGGCAAATGCTACTTACTAATCAAGCCTTGCTACCCCCCCCACACACACCTTTCCCCCCAACCTATTGTTAATTATTTACCAACACCACTGCCTCCAAGGAAGGTACCCGGCCTCCTTGTGCTATTTTGCCTCCAGTTTTCTACCTTCCAGCCCCTCTTGCTAGTCATAATGTGGTCAACTTGCCTCTTTCCACACATCAGTAATGAGAGAATCTGACCTATGCAAATAAGTACCCAGAACCTGCTCTATGAATTTGTTTTCAAGAAAAATCATCTGATGTCTAATTTTATCTAATCTTACCAGAATTCAGTACAGTGGGTGGTTAATATCATCATGGCTTTTCCAGCCAGACAACCAGGATTCAAGTTCCAATCTTTGTTTGTTTGTGGTTTTTTGTGGTACTTGGAGATTGAACCCAGGGCCTTTGTACAGACTCTCTAAATCACTAAGTTGCCTTGACTAGGTTCCAATTTGTGATACCCCTATTTTAGTGCTGGGATTATAGGTGCATGTGCCACCGTGCCTAGCTGTAAATTTTATTTCTTTTTTTATATATTATTTCATTTCTCTTGTGGTACTGGAAATTGAAGTCAGGCCTCGTGCATGCCAGGCAAGCACTCTACTAGTGAGCTGCATCCACAGTCCAATTTTTTTTAAAGACAGGGCCTTGCTATGGTGGCCTAGGCTGAATTTGAACTTGGGATCTTCTTGCCTCAGCCTCCTGAGTGCTGGGATTTCAGGCATGTGTACCATGCCGCTCCTCAAATTCTAGTTCTTTCACTTGAAACTTACATGATCTTAAATGAGTCACTTAATATTTCTGTACCTCAGTTTTCTCAGTCAGGGTAATAAATAATGAATGCAATCACATCTAATAGGATTATTGTGAAGGTTATATGAGTCAATATGGATAATGTATTCAGGACATGTCACACATAACAGGCACACAGTTGTGTATGTCTAGTTAGTATTCAGCACACAACTCCTCATTTATGACTGTATCTGGCAAGTGTTGAGCTCAATATGCCCAGCACTTCCTGGATGAAATCAGAGGGCCACTATGGACCAACCATGCATTAGAGATTGTTTTCGTCATTCTGAAAACACTACACCACAGAGAAGAGTACTAGGAGTGTAAAATGCAATGGATAATTTCTACCTTAATTTCTGTGCTCAATAATTTGGAGTTGAGGGTTTCTCTAGGCAGTTGGGAGGCATTAGATGTTTTTGAATTAAGGAATATAGCCAGGAACCTTATGTTCACAATACCATTACTTCCATTTTCCTGGTGCAGACAATTGAAGTTTGGAAATGTTAAAAGATTTGTCCAGAAAGAGGCTCAGCCAGAATCAAGTGAGCCCTATGTGATGTGATCGTTCTATCCCATGGCCGACTCCAGGGGGAGAAAAGAGTTCTGGCCTTGGAAAGGGTCCAGAGCCTGTCCTCTTTTTGCCTTGGTTTCCCACCATTTCTCTGCCCCCACATCTCCAGCCCTGCTGAGATGTCCAAATAAGGAATGAAAATTTGTTAACACAGTGATCCAGGAGCAGCTCTCATGCAGAATTCCAAGATATGAAATTTTAAAACCTTCTTGAGTAGGAGCAGGGAGCAAGTGGGACTACTTGTGTTTAAAAAAAAAGGACCTAAAAAAAAAATAGGACCTAATACTGTTTCTGAGAGCTGTTTAGGGGAGCTAATGACCTTGGGCAGCTTCTCAGTAGGATGGGTGTGTTTCCTGCACAACACACATCAGATACCTGGCAGCTTTGTGTGATCCATATTCTGATCAGCTTTATATTTTAATTCAAAGCTATTTCTCCTGGCAGGGCCCAGGGCTTTGCTGCTGCTGCCAAAGCTGTGAGGACTGTGCCAGTTGGTTAGGGTTTTGGGTGGTGTTTTTTTCCAGCACACAGAATATGTTCTTTCCTGTCGGCAGAGGTGCCTTTCAGATGTTCTCTGCATTGCTGAGGCGCTGGACAACGTGCTCTCTGGATCCCCTGGGCTGCATCTGGCTTTTTGGCAGTTCTAGAAAGAGTGGACCAGAGACTGGAGGTGGAGTAAAAGGGAGGGCAGGCATGGGGAAGGTCACAGCCTGGGTGGGCAGATGTTACTCTGGGGAGAAGAGTGGTCTACATGCCTTTCTCCACAGTCACCTGAGAGTCAGGGATGGCCAGGCCACCTCCTGCAACCTCTGCCTCGAGCTGGTGTGGGCCACTTGGTGACATGGACTTGTTTCTCATTTCTCAGCAGCTAGAGAGTCCAACACCGTAGGCTGGACTACAGTAAGTAGAGTGCAGGCAGCTCTCACCCTCTGTCCTGACCTTGTAGCATCTAACCCCACTGTCCAACTTGTGTTTAAAAACAGTAAGTGACATTCAAAGCACAATAAAGCTTTGAAGCCCATTTGAAAAGAATTTTAAAAATCAAACAAATAGAAAAACCCTCAAAATCAAGCAAAGGCTAAGGGAAATTTTAATTTAACAAACTTTTCTTTCTTCTAGTTTCTAACCTCAAATAAAACCAGGTGAAAATCAGATCAGTGGTGTGTGGGGCTGTCAGAAATAGGAGTGGCCTGGTTGGGAAGCATTTGCTAGGGCTCTGCCACGCCATTAAGACAGTTTCCCTGCCCTCAAAGGAGAGGGCATTCACCATTGTGTCTGGTTCCTGGGGCCCAGTGCTGTGGGGAGTTACTGGCTCTTGACACAATTGATGACAAGACTTTATACAGTGCATCCTGCTAGCAGAAGAAAATCCAAAGGTTACTCAGATGGACAAAGGCAATGGGGCCTCACCCCCACTAGCCATTAGGCTTAGCCTGGCTCCACCTAATCTACTGGCGAGACAGACAGAGTAAGTCCCAAAGTAATAAGTCTTCTATTCTAAAAGGGAGGCAAACATTTGGGGATTTGTGATCAGTAATCCATGAGCAACTGAGTCAGTTTGTGAAGGGCCAGTTTTAGGATACCAGTCACCTGGGAGTTGTCAGTCATTTTCTACTTAAAAATCATCCCAGAAACTCTAGGAAGTAGGCCACTTGGGTTCACATCCTGTTGGTTACATAAACTGTCAATAAAGAGGGTCTGGCGGGCATGGATGCTGGCCTTGTTGGCCCTGCACCTCCCTGGGAATGATTACTGTTCAGGGAAATAGTTCTCTATGGCAGGCACTTAACACATTTCTTGCCTAATCCTCAGAACCAGCTGACTTTAATAACTCCTGTTTTAGGGATGAAGAAATTGAAGCTCACACAGGCTTACTAATATTTTTTTTTTCAAGATTCCACATAGCTAATGATACGGGTAGGATCCAAACCCGCACCTTCCAGGTTTTCTCTCTATCCAGCTACTTAATTATCAGATAATCTTTTTATCACAGATTAAAATGAGAGTACCTTGTTTACTTAAGCTTCCTGGTAGTTTCCAGTCTTGGGCAGCAGTGAGAGGTAAAGATCCCTACATCAGGAGAGAAGGAAGGATGGCAATTAAACAGGAAATGTAACGGTAGTACTAAAATCCACACTGGAGATACAAAAGTACAGAATTAATATTGCAGAAAATTTAATCTTTTGTGTGGAAATGACAGAGACGAGCAGTTCTAAAGTCCATCAGAAAGAATAAATGAAAACGACGAGGAAGAGATTACTCAAACAGAAGGCCAAGAGAAAGCTAAGATTTATAGCTATCCTGAGGAGAAAAACACGGTTCGCATAGAAGTATGACTGAAAGATATGATTGTACAGAACTTGTGTTCTAAGAAAGACATGTACTTTGGCTTGAAAGTGTTAACCATGTTACCAACAAAAATGAAAGCAAATAAGTTCCCATGGACATATACCCATGATATCCCATAACCACCACTGCATCTTCTCTGTGTACCAAATAGCAGGGGCCCCAACATATGAGTGTGTGAAAGCGACATACTGGGATTCTAGTGCATTAAGAAAGATACCTCTATAGAAGGGGCAATTGCAAAAATTTAAGCCAAAAGTTTTTCTCTTTTTAACCTAAAAGCAAATTTCATGTCATATTAGTATATGCTGTTATACTAAAAGGGTAGTTTGATTCCAAAGCATTAGCTCAGATAGGCAACTTTTGAAATATAAGTGCCCTGGAGATATTTTTGGTGGCCTGTCCATTCCCCGTCTTCATGTTTTCTCTCTCTTGATCCTCTTTCTCCCTAACTATACCTGTGCTTTTCCACTTCCCAGGCCAAGGCTGGAGCCAACTCACACATCTTGACAAAGCCTACCATTACTGGTGACATGAAGGGACAAGCAAGCTTTCCTGTGCAATTTAGCACGGCAGGATAGGGCAGGAGACGAGAACTAGGGGCCCTACAGATGATCTGATTGGGAGAGAGGCTCTGGTGATACAAAAGCAGTGACCAGAAAACCTGAGATAACTGAAGGAGGGAGATTCCAGAGTCTTATTGAGGGAGAGAAGAATCAGCTCAGATATAGAATAGCATTTGAGAGCAGACTCAAAGACTCTGAAGTCTGCAGGTCGAAGTCCTTGGGGTTGAGAACCTGGGCAGTAACGTGGGAGCAACATCCCTGACCAAGAGATTTTGGGGAGGTGAGTCAGGAAGCTGGGCTTGTAAGGCAATAGAAAGAGGAGACCAGGGCCAGGGTCTGGATGTCACCTTGGACCATCAATAGAATTAGACACTGAATCCTGGCCTCTTTAACCCCACTTAAGTCAATTTCTGAATTTACAAACCATTCTCTTTCCCAAAGAATTTCAAGCATTACTCCTGGCCATCATATCATCAGACACTAGATACTTTACTTCTCTGAGTATCAATCATCAACAGGAAAATAGTATAAAACTCAAGTACCTTCTCCCTTGTAATATTAGGTTAGTTCAGTGGGGTCATTTCCTGTTTTCTCAATCTTCCATCATGTAGTGTAGGTGTACCTAGTCATACTTATGTGATGCTGAAATCTTATGCATCTTCATAACTATTGTGACTATAGGGTTATTTCATTCATTTCAGTGAGTAATACAACTTAAGATTTGAGAGCTGGATGAAAATAATAAAGACCACCCAGCTTAAAATGTCTCCTTTCAGAAGCAAAAACAGAGAAGTAGAGAAACTGGTCCAAAATCATACAGAAAATAGTGGGAAGAGATGGAAACAGTAAGTTTCCAACAGAAGGGAGGTTTCTGCATAATGGTTGACTCACAGGTACAAAAGCTAAGAGTTTTTATAAAACCCTAACCATAGAAACCATGGGAAACACTTCAAGAAACAATTAACCATGGTATGTTTAAAAGCTTTTTCATTGAAACACACACCAGCCTCTTCTCTGGTCACATTTTACACTGGGCATGAGTGTGCCACACAACTGACAATGTCATGAACACACTGCAGCACCATCAGAGAGACAATTTTAATGAATGCTGATGCATGAAGTTAGGCCTGTGCTATAAGTAAATCTCCATCCTCCAAAAAAAAAGTGATATTGAGCAGTACAGCCTCCCAGTCTCTGTCCAAAGTTGTCCTCTTTGATGAGTGTTCAACCACAGATTGCGAGAGGTTGTGGTTAGCAGTGCTATGGGACATAGGACTCCTGGCTGACTACTTAGCTGGAAGGTTTTCCCATCGCCCATGTTTAGTTCATTATGACTGTGCAGCTATGAATGAGTCTATGAGGTGTGCAGATTCATAATTACATCAGCTACTGTATTAGCTTTCTGGAGCTGTGTAATACATTACCATAAACTCAGTGACTGAAAGTAGATATTTTTTCTCTCTCAGTCCTGGGAGCTAGAAGGTGTCCACAAGGCCATGTCTCCTCCCAAAGCTCTAGAGAGAATCTGCTCCCTGCCTCTCTCCTGGCATCTGGGGGTCGCCCCTAATCCCTGGTGTCCTTGCCCAGCAGCAGCAGCATTCCTGTCTGCCTCTGTTGTCCCATGGCCATCTTCCCCATGTGTGTCTGTGTTTCTAAATCTCTCTCTCCTTGTGAGGATACTAGCGATTGATTTAGGTCCTACCCTCATCTTAAATTATCTCCATCTGCAATGACCTTGTCTAAACAAGGTCACTGTCACATATAGGGAGTTAGGACTCCAAGGTATCTTTTTGGGAAATGATCCGACCCACAAGTAGTATCTAAACAGCTGACTTATTGTGTTTTTGTCAATGCATCACTGAGACAGCACAAGCACTGTCCCCATTCCTCAGAATGAGGAAACAAACTTATAGATGCTTGCTCGCTTTACTCCAATCCATATGTATTTTATATGTGTTAAGCCTCTCATTCTACATTTTTAAATGTCCAATACGCTTTACACTTGTGAGTTATTTTTCTGCTTCCCATACCCATAGTGAGAAAGGTATGTTTTGAGGATCCTGGCAGCCAACAGTAAGGGCTTCTTTGTCAGCATTCCCATGCCAAGGTGGAATTTCATATGAGCAGGGCCCTGAGTTCTTTTGAGATACAAAGAGGGAATGGAGAAGTCACACAAAAAGTTCACACAAGCTACTGGTTTTGTACACTCAAATTCCTAAAAGGTTGCAGTTTCTTCTGTGTTTGTTTTATATTATGTCCATTATTAACATCGCATCCTTCATGTTAGGTCATGGCTGAAATCAGGACTCTTCCGTCTTTACTTTCAGAGTGTAGAGGAAACAGAGGTGGTTTTTCCTTGATGTTAGACTCCAGTGTCTGTGCAGAAGAGAGATTTCAAGGAGGATTTCAGGGACACTTTCTGTATTGGCTCCACTGCGGGGTGACTTTGGCTTCATACACAAAAGTCAAGAGGAAAGCCCAGCCGAAAGTCGTGGGTGACCCGGATGGACACTGTCACTCAAAGAGCTCCAGGTAGTCAGGGGGCTGCTCCTGCTGACCACAGGGGTAGAGCAGGCGCTCCTTCCCCAAGGAGGTTATGGGCTCCTCCTGTCAACCAGAAGGACAGAGTCAGGATGGGTTGCACTGTGGGTGCCCTTGCTACCTCCTCAATCCTTGGTTTATACAGAGCTTTGCTGGTTTATGATACCCTTTAAAGAGATTCTCATCTCCATGCTGTCTTTTTCTCTAGGGCTTGAATTCTAACTTAAGACTATTCTCAGGTGTGGTGAGTATGTGCACAGCTTGGTTAGCATCTCTGATAGTCTCTGCCCCAGTGGGGTTTCCTTGAGTATTTGAGGAAGAACTAGGTTTTGTGATAAAAGAAATGCAATTAAGAATCCTTATTATTGGAGAGAATTATCAAAGATGAATCCTCTCATGACTGATCTCAATTACTTTGCTTGTAATTGCCTTTCTTTGTTATAGCCGCTGTAGGACAGTAATTTACAAAGCAAACTGAGTTTATGAATCACTTTACCTTATGATATTCCACCAAATCTGCCAGGGTGGCATGCTGCAGCTGGTCCACACCCAGGAAGCTGTAGGAGTCTGCAGAGGCATCTATGAGGAAGTGCTTACAGCCCTCTTCTGACAGGTAGGATAGGGCATAGCCTTTGATCTTTTCACTGACTCTGATCAGAAAACTGCCTGGCACGCCTGTGCTCAGGAGCTCATTTGCTTTTTTTAGTGTAAGAATTCCTGTGGGAAGGAGAAAACAAACAAACAGGTATTTCAGCCAAATCCTGAGTTGTCTTCTTTATAGATAAAGTTTAGTGGAAAAAAAAAAACCAGAGCCACTGTAACTATATTTTGGGTTTAGGAATATAGTAAAATATTCAGGTACATTTGATAACTGGACAAGTGAGAGATTCTACAGGCAAGTGGATAGTAAAATGAGAGCTATGTTAGCTTTAAGGAGAACACATTCCCAGTTGTATGCACAGGTGGCATTTAGCTCAGGAGCCAAACATGGCAGGACACCTTGATGGTCACACTGGGAGGGGTGCTGTCAGATTGGAGGGAGACTTAAGATGCTCTGTGCAATCCCTCACAGTCTACTGATGACAAAGGACTCAGCGGCTTAGACAATGATGTCACTTGGAATAGAACAGTGGCTCTCAACCAGGATGATGTCTGAGAGATATTTTTGGTCTTCATGGATGGGACTGGGAATCTCATCCAGTAGACAAAGGCCAGGGATGCCACTAAACATCCTTCAATGCACAGGACAGCCTCATACTACCAAGATGTAGCCAGTGCACAGTGTTGATAGTGCTAAAGGTGACATGGCCTGGTCTAGGAGGTTCAGCAATTTAGTGACACAATCATGATGGACTCTGGTCTACAAAATGCCTTCCACTGCAATTGCTCCTCCATGCATACATCCATCGGCATCTACAGGAATATGTACATATGAAGGAGTAACTTCTTATGCATAAGAATATACAGAGAGTCAGTTTGATGCATGAATTGCACCAGCTTTTCCCCAACTTAGGAGGTTTGATTCATGTTCCAAAGTTCCCCTCATTCCTATTGTAATTCTTCAGATGAATAGATAATGTTGTAAACATACAAAAGGAACACCAACATAGCAACTTGCTGAATTATTCAGTGAGCTCTGATTTGGGAGGAAGGAGCAGCACTCCCTTCACGTCCTTTTCCATTTCAGTAAACTGAAGCTCTGGACTTCGCCTGTTCCACAATTAGCTCCCCAGTGATTAGTACCTCATTATTAGGAAAGCAAGCAAGCAAAAAACCTCCTCATGAAAAGGCAATGGGTAGGCCTTCCAATTCTTAGTAATTAAGAAGTGAACCCTAATCTCCTATAGTACAGTGTAAAATGAAACCATTTCTGTTCTCTTTTCTGTAAACAGACTTTTAGTGAGAGGAGGAGATAAATTGCCTGTTCTCCCCAGCCAAGATGATCCCCCAGCGCCACCTGCTCTTCTCCCAGGCACCATTCAGAAGGGTGGGGGTGCAGGTCCCCCACACTGAGCCCAGTATGAGAGCTCAGGTCGAGCGCTAAGATTTGGGGAAAGTCTCAGCACCTTAGTCTGCGCACAGGAAGGAAAGACGCTGAAACAGAAGAAAATCTGTGTCATCTCTTCCATGTGCCCAGCTCTCCTGCACTGACTCAGCTGGATGTCGATGCGTGTCTATGGTACATATCCCCCCAGCTGCCTGCCTGCCTTTTCCCTCATGAGACTGGCCTGCTAAGATGTAGACCGACCTGGGTGGCCCGAGCAAGCCTCCCGATGCAGATGCTGACCCTCTAAGGGGTTCAAATGGTGGCTGAGTCCAGGAGACAGAGGCTTCTGCTCATGTTATTGGTCTATTTCACCTTCCCAAACATAGCTGGTGCCACTGATAAGTTACACGTGGCAACCAGAAGTGGAAGCACAGAAACAAGCAACCAGCTGTGCAGTGACCTCCTGTGATAGAGGTCTGAAGACACCATATTAGACTGAGAAAGCGGGGACATAAGGAGCGATCACAACATATGGTGACTGCTACTGCTGACTACCTGACGTCCAATGGAAAGGCAGACTCATGAAAACATTACAGTGGCTCCTCACCCACTTTATTCACTGGGTCTGGCACTGTGCAACTTCGGACTCTTTCCCAGAGTCAAAATGACCGTGAAAGGTAAACATTTTGAATCAACTCAGGACATTGAGGCAGTTAGAACAGACAACTACCCACAAAAGAGGACTCCCAGAATTGCTTCAGAAACTTCCAAGAAAGGTGAGATAAGTGGATTTGGAGTAAGAAGGAGTATTTTGAAGGAGATTAATGGCAATGTAGCTTTCACTGTAAGAAATTCTTAACATTAACTGTATTATTTTTTTTTACCAAACCTCATATTCTTTTCTGGCACGAGAAATCCCCCTTCAGAATGAAAGGCTCATGAAAATATGATTGGCAGAATCCTACTGGCTCTAGAAACGAGTTCTGTCTCCCTACAACCTTTACCGACAAGCTAACTCTGAAATTTCAAGTTCCTGCAACAGATGGAGCAGATGTTGTAATTTATAAAACCTGGAAGCTATTCAGATGTATTTAGATTCCTACAGTGAAAGCTATTCTGGAAAATTATAACCAAACCCGGGCTAAGGTAAAATTCCTTCTCAGATCAGCTCAGATAGTACCCATAAATCATGGTGCCTGCAGGCCTCCTAACCACTGTAATCTCTGTCATCACTCCTGACACACTATACTAGCACTATCTAAGTTCCTGAGATACCACAACACAATAAAATGTTCTTGCAAATCTCAGGTTGTAATGGAAACTCCGAGTACACCACAGAGAGGGGGCAGGTTCAAAGGTGAGCTTCATTGGCCCTGAGCTTTGTGGGATCCAAGCAGGTGATTTCTCTCCGTTTTTTTTTGCTTTGTGATGGGTTTTTGGTCCTTAGGAGCACACTCTGTTGGTGGATCTAAAAGTGCAGGTTGGTGTATATGATTTTGTCATAAAGGCTTCATGGCAAAGGGTGCATTCAGGGCACCCTGGCTGTGACCACTACCAAGCCCTGGGCAGTGTCTACCCAGGCTGGGAGCTCCTGAGTGCAAAGCAGACTCTGATGCCAGGTACAGTTGGCTGTGGACGTGGGAATCTCCCCTCGGTGTTGATCATCCCTGGCTTCCCCTCACTCACTACAAATTCCAAAGCAGTGATCTTCGCCCCCTCACGGCCCTGACACTTAAGTCCTCCGACCAGATCTCTGATCTGAGGTCACGGGAGGGATTCTGTGCTAGTAAAAGGGATATGAGAGATTTACTTCACCAATTTAATGAGCCACATTTTTACCAGGACAATCCATGATCTTTCTTAAAGCTGGATGGAGGCAAAAAGCATCAGAACCACAGCAGATGTCCCTGCACAAGGTCTCCTGGGGAGCCTGCACACTCAGCATGCAGCTTCACACAGCTGGAGTTGAGGGCAAGCAGGAGAAATGCCCCACTCACTCCCCTCTGTGTGATGCCAGGGCTCCCTCCAGAGCAACAACTTCCTGTATGCGACAACAACTTCCTGTAATGGTGGAAATGTCCCCTGTGCTGGCCATGTGGTAGCCACTAGCCACAAGTGACCACTGAGACCCTTAAATGAAGCTAGCTAGTATCACTGATGACTCAATTTTAATTTTATTTAGTTTTCACTAATGTTGATGTGGAGAGCCACATGTGCTCTGGCTACTTCTCTGTACTGAGTAGCTTTAGCCCTCTGAAACGTAAAGGTTTGGCCCAGGTAGGCCAAGCCCGGAAGAAGCACTTTTCATACAGAGTACAGTCACAGACTCCTACGAGACTTGAAGTAGCTCACAAGCCCTACCAAGGCCCTAGCTGGAAATCCAAGAGCCAATGACTGCCCCACAGGAAAAAGGTAGGTGAGTGGGATGCCCCTCTTTACACCTCCTCCTGAAAAACTCCTACTCACTCTGAAAGGTCCAACACAAGGACATGGAGTATTTGGACTCCTGGTTGTGCAGTAAGACAGTTTCCTCCAGGCCTGTGGAGCACCTGGCCCTCACCTCCACCGGAATGCTCACCTGGTACTCAGCCTGGTCAGGGCACTCCCAGCACATTCTGCCCCACTGCCCTGCCCTCCTCTACTTCCTTATGCGCTTCAGAGGGCAACTATCAGGTTGAATTTCAATGACACCCTCCACAACTGCCGCTTGGAAGATGCCTAGAAAAGGTCTAAGGAACACTTTTGTCTCTCAACTGAGCTTCTGACTTCTCTAGAACACTTCTCAGCAGCCACTGCCTCTAGTCTGACAACTGTTATGCCAGGGACAAGGTGTGCATGCCATATTTCTCTGAAGTATCACCAGGTGTACAACCTACTTCCTGCATCTGAAAAATAGAGTAGAAAAGTCAAATGAAAGATAACCAAATAATGACTCAAAGTATGAATACCTTGTTTAATCTTCACAGCAAGCCTGCAATGAGGTAGTAATAGTAGCGTCAACAAAAGCCTCCAACCTGTGTCACAGGAAGCTGCAGAACTTAGGATCACTGGGGTGGGCCAGGAGAAGGTTGGATGTGCCCAGGCAGTCTGAGCCCAGAGCCAGTTCCTACCCACACACCCACCCTGAATACCTATCCCTGCACTACCCCAGCACAATGTTTCCCCTTTACCTTTTATGTTTTCACTGAATCCTCCAACTACTCTAAATAAGCAGACCTGATATTGCTATCATCCTATTTTACAGATGAGCAAATTAAGGTAGAAAGGGGAAGTCCCAAGGCTATAGGGTTAGTGATGGCTCCACATCCTGATCTCCCACTCTAGTGTTTTGTTTTATAAACTGCTTGACTCAGGAAATAGTCCTGGAATGAGCTGAAAATAAAATGTGTGCCTATTTCACAAAGAGGCACTAAACAAAGATGCATTTCTCAGTGACAGTTGAGTGTGATCTGCCTGGGCTTGGGGAAGATCCCCAGTGCTCTTTCTCACTCTCCCAAGCTCAGGATTCAAGTTCCAAGGACTCAGAGGCCGCAGACACCCCAGGCTGCAGCATCTCCTCCCCTCCCCTTGGAGCCACTGTGGAGCTGCTGGCCCTGTGCCTGCCCTGGATTCTTCGCCCTGGCATCTCCCCTTCCTTCCGTCATCTGTCCTGCAGTCCCTGCCTCTTGGGCTACCCCCAGGAAGAGTGAGAGGAGGAGCAGTTGAAGATAATACCCCAGAGGGACCTCAA